CGCCCACCATGACACCTGCGTCCAAGGATTTTGTGACCTGGTCATAGAAGGCCACCAGGTTGGTCTGACAGGGCCTGCCTCGAATGAACCCATGTTGGTTGCCCCTAAGCATACACTCCCCTGCTTGCCCCTAGCAGATGTGCACTTGGATAATTTTCTCAAAGAGCTTCCCCAGGACCGAGGTAAGACTAACAGGCCTATAATTTCCTGGGTCTTCCTTCCTCCCTTTTTTGAAAATTGGAACCACATTGGCCCTTTTCCAGTTCTCTGGCACAATGCCAGAGCACCATGAGTGCTCGTAAAGCTGTGCCAGGGGTCCTGCAATGGCCTCTGCTAATTCCCTCAGCACTCTGGGGTGGAGATCGTCAGGACCTGCTGATTTAAATACGTCCAGTCCCTCCAGAAGTTCCCTGACTAGGTCCTCACTGACCCTGGGCCTGGCTGCACTTCCCCTGGGATCATCGGGGATCCCAGTGGGAAGGATGACCTGGTCCCTGCTCAGAAAAATGGAGGCAAAGAAATTGTTAAATAGGTTAGCTTTGTCACCTGGTGAGACCACCAGATTTCCAAGCATGTCCTGCAGAGGCCCCACATTACCCAGAACCTTCTTTTTATCCCCTATGTATTTAAAAAGGGATTTCTTGTTGTCCTTGATCCAGGTTGCTAGTCTCAGTTCCAGCTTCACCTTGGCTTTTCTAACAGCCCCCCTACAATCCTGAGCAACGGAGGTATAGTCCTCCCTGGTGATGGCCCCTCCCTTCCACTGGGTGTACGCCTCCTTTTAGCTTTGAGACGTTCCTGGATGCTTTTGGTGAGCCATGGGGGCTTTTGAGCACTCTTGCCCACTGTGATCCATGTAGGGATTGCCACCCTTTGGGCTTGGAGGATCGTCTCCTTCAGGAATGACCACTCTTCCTGGACTCCCAACTCCCCACCCCTCCGGGACCTCAGAGCCTCCCCAACTATTCTCCTTACCTCATTGAAATCCGCCCTCCTGAAGTCCAGGGCTGCTGTCTTGCTGTAGGCCTTTGCCACCCTGTGCTAGATAGTGAATTCCAGCAGGAGATGATCACTGTCGCCCAGGTGGTCGAGCACCCGCAGTCCCCTCACCAGGTTGTCATTTGTGGCCAGGACCAGGCCTAACAAGGCATTTCCCCTGGCGGGACTGTGCCCCTCCTGGGTTAGATGGAGGTCCTATAACATGGCTAGGAACCTACGTGAGCGGTCAGACCTGGCTGACTGCTCTTCCCAGCAAATGTCCGGATAGTTTAGGTCACCCATGATGACCACATCCTTTGACTTTACTGCCTCCGCGAACTGACCTGAGAACTCCCGGTCCAGCTCTTCTCCCTGGTCGGGTGGTCTGTAGTAGACCCCCACCATTAAGTCCCTTTCCCCCCGACCCCCTTGTATTCTGGCCCAGAGCACTTCAGTCTGCCCCTCCTCTGACCCAGTGCTGTTTGTTGAGGATGTGAATTGTTCTTTGACGTAGAGCGCCACACCTCCACCTTTCCTCCCTGTTCTATCCCTCCAGTACAGCCTATAGCCCCTGATGTTCACCACCCAGTTGTGCGTTAGATCCCACCACATTTCTGTGAGCCCCACTATGTCTGGGTTTGTGTTAGCTAGCAGGAGGGCAAGTTCCTCCTGCTTGTTTTCCATACTACAAGAATTAATGTATAGGCATTTAAGGCCTCCTGAAGGTGTATGCACTGCCCCCTAATCCCAGGACTATCTGGGCCCTCGTCTCCTACCTGGGTATTTCTTGTGCTCGTCATCAGTCTTGGCTGGGCTGTTCTTGTGGGCAATGCTTTGTTTGGTGTTCCATGGCTCCCTCCGACCTCATCCTCCCCTTCCCCCAATGAGCCTAGTTTAAAGCCCACCGGAGGAGATCAGCCAACTTGAAAGAGAACACACGCTTACCTTTGGGGGAGAGGGGAAGCCCAACCCACCCGAGCATGCAGGTTTATATTGGAGGGAGCCCTTTGAATACAGAGATATGGTAATTTACCCCATTATAATCTCTTCCCTTTGTTTCTGTCTGTCTGTCTCTCCATCTCTTTCTTCCTTTCCCACCACATTCTCTTTTCTTTCCATTAACACTGCACTCGTAACATTTTGAAAAACCTCTTACAGTTGCTTCTGCTGCTTCCACCCACTCTGTGTCTCCTACTATTCTTTTGGAGACCATGTGCTAACGGGGAGCATAGTGACAAGGAAGCAATAGGGGCAAAAAAGCCTTCACAGAAGGCACTTTGGGAATCAGTTATTTTAGGTTCTACTTCCAGCTCTCTCACCAATGCACTGTGGGGTTATGGGCAAGTCCTCTACCCATTCATAGAAAACAGGTGTGTTTCTCAGTTGTATTAGCTCATAGAGTTTAACATGATTGAAAAACCCTATTTAACTATGAAGCTGAACCCATGACAATTGACAACTGTTAAAAGTAGCTCCAACATGACAAGCTTATGTGGCTTCACCTGTGCCTTGATGGAGCTTTCAGTTTTGTTAAGCTAAATGGATTGATCCAACATGATGGCAAGCCACACCCTTCTTTGCTCATCAATACAGGGCCGCTGTATTTCATTTTCTCCCTTTTAAAAGAGGAATAACAATGTTTACTTGGCTGACAGGGAGGCTGTGAGGATAAATGAGTTACTGTACTTTAAAGGTTATTTAGAATGTCAGCTCCATGGGGTATGGATCATGTTTTTCTGTGCAAGATGTCTGAAATATTAATAGTAATAATAATTCATTTCAAGAGCATTTGCTAACAGGTACCTCATGGCAACTGCTGTTATCTCCTGTCATAAGAATAGGGAAAGTTTGGCATTTCACACTCCACTGTGCAGACCCTTGGCAGATGCATCTTTTTCATGACCGCCACCATGCTCCCCATCACTTTCAACCAATCCTCATTATTATGTGGGGGTCAAACCCTGTTTCCAGTGAAGCCAAGTGGGGCTGCTCTTAGGAATAAGGAAGACAAATTTGATCCACACATTGAATAGCAACCTCCATAGTACAGTATATGTATTGCCAGCAGTCATGTATAAAAGGACCTTTGTTATCCCATTCCAAGAAGCGTGAACATTTCAATTTGACTGTCCTTCCATGTCATCACTCCAGAGTGTGGGGTCCCCTGCCCCCTCCAGAGAGGCTTCTAAACCAAGCAACACCAGGAGTTATACAACACCTACCTGGATTGGGCTCTTACTCTTATCTACAGTGCCTAGAGCATAAACCCATTCCATTTTTCTTGTCAAATTACCTTTGGTGTTTTTCAAATGAACTGCACTCTTCTTTCCCATCTCCTTCCATTCTCCTGGAGGCAGGGTCAGACCCATCTCAGATAAGCAACCGAGAGCATAGTATAAAGAAATAAAGGCTCTGGCATTCACACTTTTCTTTAGTGTGTTGCTTTGCAGTTCAACTACAATCAGATGTAATGGGATTTTGATTTGAGTCATAAATCCAAGCTCAGGAGCCCACTGTGTTTTTACTTTCCCTGGGCTCCTACTCACAAACAACTGTGTAACAAGAGGAGTAAATAAACATAAAATTAATTGTGCATTTAAGAAAAGAAAGGGAAAAAGGGATTTTCCCCCCCTCAGTTTTGAAGCTGGTGCAGCTGTTGGCAGTTTTCAGAGCTTTAGATTCCAGGAACCTTCTTTGCAAAAACCCCCCAAACAGGCCTGTACCTAGGTAATGGGGTCTGAGAGTGCAATTACATCTGATTTCTTTACCTCCAGTCATGGCAGGCAGAGCCATGGAATGGTCCGTTGGTGCCAGATGGTTTTTATAAATATTTGGGTTTGGCTTAGATTTGAATCCGACCAGTATTCCTTGGTCAAAAGCAAAGTGACATCTATTTCTCAGTTCTGCATATCTCCTCAGCTCTCTCTGTCTGTATTTTCCCAGAGCATTCATGGTTCTTTTTAGAGTTTCCATTGTTTCAGTGAATGACGTGCCGCCTCCACCCCTCTCCACATGCACACGTGCTGATGAATGGAAGGATTCTTAAAGTAGAAGTAAAACTCACATGTTAAAAGGTGCAGTGGCTGGCTAGCAAGCAACCTATGTGCTGAACCTTCCCCATGTCCCCCCTTGCTTAACAGAAGGATTGATTCTTCGTCATTTCTCATCTGTACAGTTCCACATAGCTAGAACTTACCAGTGTGGAGTGACAGTGTCATCGTATGGCCCAGGCACAGCACTATGTGGCAGGAAGCCAGAGGTCTACTGCTGTTCCTCCCACTGGCTCAACTTGTAGCCTTGGGCATGGGCTGTATTAATGTGGCTATGTATCTCATTCTGATGACAACATTTAACCCATCATAGGGGTATTGCAAGGCTTAATAAGTGACTGTATAGATGATATTTTGGACATTTAGAACATGAAAAATGACATGTCCAAAGCTAAATATAGTAATAACCTGAGATGTCTGAGAATGGACTCTCTTCTGTACAACTTCCATGATTAGTTTATATTCCTATTAGTGTTACTTTCTCCCTCTTCCCTATATCTCTTTACAAGCCATTGGATTATTACTACAGATATACCACCTTATGCAAAGAAACCTAAAGCCATACAAAACAGCTAGATTTGAATTCAGACAGGGAAGGGATAACAGCCGAGTTTTGCCCCATTTCTCTCAGGTGCTGCAACCCCAAATTTCTTGATGCTTCCAGATGGGCAGGATTTTTCTAGACTGCATTGTAGTTTCATTTTGGCTTTGCAACAAAAAACAACACTGGGTGCATCTACACGTTGCTGTATGGTGACATTGCTACAGCACCATGCTTTAGTATTTTCTTTTGGAAGTACTAAAGCATGGTGCAGTATGGGTGGTTACAGCACTGTATGCATGGTGCACAGGTAAATTTTGCCACTACATCACCGTAGTGGTACACTGTACACAGGGAGTGCACAGCTACGGTGACGTAGGTGGCAATGACGTGTAGACACGTGATCACTGTTGCTGTAACATGCCAAACGGTGTCACGTAGCGCATCATTACATCGCCATAGGGCAACATGTAGATACACCCACATAGTAGTCATGTGGCAGGTCTAAGTTTGATTGAACCTTAAACCCATACACAATGAAGACAGTTTGAAGGGAAATGCAAAGAAAAACAATTTACTCATTTCTGACGTGTTAAATCAGATCCTGGTGTCCCCTCATTTTGCTATAACAGCTGGCCAAAACCTTTGGGGGACCAGCTATTCCTAAGTCAGTCTCACTGGGGTGTTTTGATTTGGATCAGAATAAAACCTCCTTATTCAAAAATCTGGCATGGGAGCTCAGCAAGTTTCATACAGATCTGGTTGCTTTGAATGTCATCCTAAATATTCTCATTGATGGTATCTCTCATTCTCTCCCTCTCAGTCTGAACTGTTTTGTGGTGCTACGTATAAATAATATTCTTAAATGACACAGTGCCTTTTGTGGGTCCTTAAAATAATAAAGACTCAATTGGATTCTAAGATCAGCTGGGTGGGCAATTGGGAAACAGCTTGGTGGCAGGTGCATGGCAGAGTTTTATGAGGAACATCAGACGTGAGATCAGAATTCAGGTCAGGCTGCAGATCACTGATCTTTTTGCATTTCTCCCCCTCTCTCGAGGACAGCAGAATGCTGGTAGCAGCCCCATGAGTATGAAACACCAGCTTTTGAAAGTGGTGCAGCGTGTATTCCAGTACCGGGTGCTACTCACAGGTCAGTAAAGCTTAAATAAATGCTCTCACATTTGCTTCAGAGAAGACCCCTCCTTCATGCATTGCACTGGGGCTCTATGCTGATGGCAGACAAGAGCTAGAGAAGGAAAAATGGGGGTGGAGCATGGGGCCAGAATCCTCAGGGAGCATCAGTCCCTTTCTTAGGTGATATAGGAAATATGTTGGACTAATAGGGTGTATCTACACTGCAGCAGCAGCAACTGCATGTCCCAATGACATACTGCAAACCCAGAATGTGCTAGTGATGTCTGGGGTCACCCCCAGTAGGGGTTCTCCAACATCCTGGCCTCCAAGGTTTCAAGGGTATCTGCAAAGGGATGCCTGGAATGGCCTCACTGGTATATTTGCAGGTTTGGAGTGTGCCAACAGAAACAGGTGGACAGGGCATGCTCAGCCACAACCGTAGAGACAGACCTTACTTACAAACATTGGATTGAGATGCAGAGAGCAACAGAATTGTGCTAGCCTCTGGAGGCTAATGGCAGTTCTGTGCCTGGGGAAGGAAGAAACACCACTCTTCAGTGAGATTGCATTGATGTGTTACTAGAAGATGCAGGTTCCTTTTGCACCCATTGACTCAACTGTACCCTTACTTGTGTTCATGGATAGAAAAGGAAGAGAGTCCAGACACTTGCTGCCAACCCATAAATGTGATTCTGTTTACAGTTTAGGCCTTACCCCATATTTAATTTACTTCAGCCTAGAGATGAACCAAAACAGAAACCTGGACTAACACCTTTGAACTCTGGAAAAGCTCAGAAAGGGCAAGACATCTCCCCTTTACACTATCCAGTGACCTGGCTCTCTCTCATCAGGACTCAACTGTATCCTCAAGAACATCCCATGAGATTGGGCCGTTCATTCCATCCTGCCATTGCAGACCTAGCAGGCGTATGGGAGGAGAGTGTACAAGGTGCTAGATTAGGAAGTATAGGCTTAATACAAAGGAATGGTGGAAAGCTGGACAGGGAGGGAAGTGGTGAGATGTAATATTTAGCAGCAGCAGAGGAAGTCGGTACATCTGATGGGACCACAGGAAACCAATTCTCCTTAGACGTAAAGATGGAGAGCAGTGTTGGGTATGTATGTGTGTGGGTGGGGAAAGATGGGACATTAAGAAGGAAGCAGTAAACCCCACCTATATTCAACAGCTGATGAAAAGTACAACATGAGAGAGCAGACTCCTATAAATGTAACAGAACAAAGGGATCATCTGCAGTTTTATTCACAGCACAGATTAGCAGCAGTTTCATCTCACTCCAAACACTTTGATCAAAGATGCAACTCATTTTTCACAGCTGTTTCTGCTTTTTTAGTAACAGTGACACAAGTGAGCACCGGATGCCAGTAGTAGGATATTTTTTGACTGTCTTGCTTCCTTCTCTGGGTGTGTCTACAGTAAGTGAGAGAGACTTTCCAGGGACATAAGCAGCATGTGATATATAGCTGTCCTGCTTAGTCCTTTCAGTGGTTCCTGTGAATGCACGTATCAGCACTGATTCTGAGAATGGATATGATGCGCCTTACTGGCATGGGCACTTCTAGTACAATAAATCCCCTAAGGCTTAGTACCATGGCCAAGAGGATTGGGGTAATTACCAGATATAAGGAACTGCACTGTGGCAGAGGGTTAGGTGAAACAGTCAAACCACTTCAGCAGCAGTGGTTATGGTTTCTGCTCCACACTTGGGCAAAACTATTGGATTTAGCCATATCAGTGTAGTTATCACCCCACTCCTTGTAGCCAATTAGTTAAACCAATGGGTTGAAATCACCCTACATGGCTGTTGTGTGCAGACACAAGGTTTAGTGAAAGTACTGCAAAGTCGACATTCCAGTGAGCTACTGCCACAGCTTTGTACCTGGACTAAAACCATCTGTGGGTATAAGCACAGCCCCTCACTTTCATGCTAAGACAGGCAGGACAGCATTCATTTTCTCTGGAAGGTGTGACAGCTAAAATACACACAGGTCCTTATGTTCATTGCTTGCTGTTTCTAGCCAGATAAGGAAGGCTATTTAATCTGTTCACTGCTTGCCAGTTAGTGTACCATACTTATAACCAAAAGGAGTTGCCCACCTTCATTAAAAATCTCTAGCCAAGTGCAGAGGCTGCATCTGAGAAAGGAAAGTCTAAATACTGCGCCCTCAGATGCTGAACTGAGAAGTCGAATAGCAGACTCCTCTTATCCTTTCCGAATCCAGAAGAGAGCCAGGTACACTTCAGAGATGAGGGAAGACATAGGAGAAGTGAGGTCACACATGTGGGGCAGAGCAAGGATTGGGTTTCCATTCCATAGATCTTTTTCTCTGAAGTAAAATTTAGGTCTTGGATGAGGTAACAGAAGAGTAAAAAGTTACAGGAGCGGTGTTCAATAAATAAAGGCACTGAGATAATAGGGTGATAAGGGTCATATAACAGTAGTGGAAAAAAAGAGACATACCCTTAGTCCCACAAGTAGCTTAGGTGAAGTGAATGGAATTCTTTGCCCAAGTAAAGGATGTCAGAATTGGCCTTTAACTAACTTTCCTGTTGTACACAGTTTACTGAATCTATTTTTGAATTTGAATTTGGCTCCGGCAATAATTGTTGAATTTCTCTGCATCTAGAACACTGGCATTCCAGAAATATCAAACCCCATGTACTCCGGTTCCCACTTACATAGGAATCAGTAAGCATTGCTAGTACTATTCATTCTTGTGTGAAAATAAAAGAAATCCATCAGGAGACCATTTATTAAGTCAAACAGAGTCACGCTCAGCTGCTTCTCTTGGCTGAGGAGCAGGAAAACATTTTAGTCCATTTCAGTCCACGTGGGTTTCTCCTGCCAAGCTGGGTTTTGCTTCTCAGATCTGAATAAACCAAAAGTCTTAAAGTAAAATTCAGTCCAAAGGATGAGTTTACATTTGGAACGATGCTAAATCTACCCAGATAGGTGATCCTTAAGAATAAAGGTTTACAGGAAAGTAGGGTTTGTGTTTTATCTAGTCAAGACTATATTCTAATTTCCCTGCAATTGACTGGATGCTCTATATTCTGATTGTTTCCTACAGATTACTTGAATAACCTTTGTCCTGACTCTGCGGAGTATGAAAACACACAAGGTAACTTGAAATGGGTTAAACAGAAGCCCAAATTATCATTGCGTTGAGCTGATGGGTCAGATGAGAGATCTCATTACCTCTCCAAAATAAACTCTTTGGGCAGGGAGCAAACATTGGGCAGGGACCTTTTCTTTGCCTGTACAGGGCTTAGGATATGATATAACACTGACCGGAGTGATGCTGTTATCCTTAGCGTAAAGTACCTTGAGCTACCATGGGCCTGACACGTCTCTTACGTTACTGCAAATCAAGACGAACTCCCTAGAGTTACACCAACACTCCAAAAGTGAGATCAGAGTCCACTGTTGTGAGTGTGGAAGGCACATTGTAAAGTCAAATTCCATACTGCCACTTTTATGTGGAACAATTTAGGGCAGGGCCTTCTCACTGAATGGAAATTCACATCTAAATTCAGCTGCTGGTCATTGCCATATTATCATAGAAACATGACCCACCTCTCAGTACTGTGAGGAAAGAGGAGGTAACTTTTCAAACCAGGTCTGAGGTCATGTCCAGGGCAAGAGAGAAGCTCACACTGCTGCTGTTTGCATCCTATTTCACTTCCTCCATCTGTGAATAACTACAGTAAAGCATGAGCTGCAGAATTTGGATACTGACCCAGGTCTTAAACACTCATGGAGCTCAGAAATGGTTGGTCTTAGCACACTGGGGATAGACACAGAATTTGACTGAGATCTGGATGTGGATTTGAGATACCATCTCCACCTTCCCAAAACTCAAGGTCTACAAAGGACCATAATTTACTACAGCAACAACAATAATAATGCAGTTTTTTAGAATAAGAAGCTCTGCGGGTCCCTGGTTCTTTCACAAGCACATGGAGCAAAGGCCTAAAGGCTAAGTTTTGGGGAGTTCCTATCAGTCTGACATACCACAGCTACTGGAAGAGAACTGAGTGCCCACCTTTTGGCTCATTCCCAAAGCACAAGTAACTGTGAAGCAAATGAAAGGGTTTGATGTTTTTATTTGCACATTGCTCAGCATGCACTTCCAGCTCCCTTTTGCTTTGCAATAGTTCTGAGAGTTTTCAACAGCAACAACAGCTGAACACTCTTATCGGTGTTCTTTCATTCCTTGAACTCAGACCAGCACAAATACACTTGTGAAACAGAGCATCATAATCAACTTGTGCAACCTGAAGAACAAATCCAGATGCCCAGCACATATCAGGATTTTCACTATCATTCTTCCTACAGCATTAGGTGCATATAGCAATGGGAGCCCCCAGTGGGAGCTTTGTTCTGACCCCAGTGGGAGCCAATCAGGCCACATACAGGCAAGGACCATAGTGTATTAAAGAAATTCTGATTTCAGAATTGGGTTATTTCAGATTTACACTGTATGCAATTGAGAGACAAATGGGGCACAGGATTGAAAGCACTTGACATCTAGGTATAAACTAAACTGCCAAAAAATTGTGACCAGAAGACCTATTGCAAGATGATTACATGAAATTCTGAAGCACTTAAAGGTGGCTCCATGAGTTTTCTTGGTCAGGGCATAGGTCATAACACTATAACCATGAGGAGGAGGAAAAAAGGAAGGAGGGGATCCAGTTGGAAAAGCGAATAAGACCGGCTTGGATCCTAGTTATGAAAGGGCGCTTCTCCCTGAAGATGTGAGTGCAGCTTCATCAGTGTATTTCTTTAAAGGATGACATTTATGAATAAATGTGATTTAAGTTATTTATCCTAATTGTTCATGTGCTTTCTGTTTTTCTGTTGTACTTCCCCTTACAGCTGCCTTACTCATTGTCTCCGAAATTACAGACCGGGCCAACGACAGGATGCAGCAAGGGGTGAGTCCTCTGGGGTCAAGTTATATGGTGATCTTTTCTGCAAGTTTGCTGTTGAGTATAACCTCATGGTAGTGGTCAAGGGCCTCAGATCCTCTAGCCAAAGGCACATGTTGCCTAGTGTCCTCCAGAGCTAGGTTCAAGGAATTAAATTCTGTTCTTATTTATAATTATGTAAATATCAAGTACATTGTTTGACTTTAGCTCCTTGGGGAAGATGGTAAGTCACTGCAGAGTTCAGTTGAAAGTCCTTGTCCATTTTGGCCTTGGGGTTGCTAAAATTGTACATGGGAGGAATTAAGGGGTGGAATCCTGGCATTCTTGCTGCTACTGGGATATATTCAGGTATGAATACAGGCCTGCTCCTGCTCCCAAAGATATCAGCATCCATGGTTTTGCACTCGGATAGGACCTTCGCTGTTGTATGATTTCATTGACTTCAGAGAAGTTATTCCTGATTACATGCCAATTCTCATGTGTAAGTGAGATCATAATTGTCAATTATAGGAGCTTAGTTGGCATCTAAATCTGTATTTAGGCACCTAAATGCATTCTATGGTCTTCAGAAGTGCCAAGCACCCTGCAGTTTCCACTGAGGTCAGTGTTAGAAACTGACCTCCTCTGGCATGAGATCAGAGCTACAGGACATTAGGGAGATAGTCTGCAAATAGGTCTTCTAGCAATTTGCTGAAAAGAGCACAATCCTGTTTCCATATAAGTCAATAGGCATTGTGCCATGGATGTTGGTAAGAAGCAGTTTTGAGTACAGAATACAAAAAAGCACTTGGCTGGATTTTGATCTCACATATACTGTTTCTGTACTAATGGAATCAATTCCACTGGATATATTGGTAACTGGAACTGGGAATTAGGAGTTCCTTGTGTCTTACACTAGTGTGATATAACAATCAGAGCTGCTGGGTCTCTCTCTATACCTTATTACAGACATCATTTTTTATCTTATATATTTCTATCTGGGTCTAGTTTGTATCTGTGGGACACAGGCACATGAATTATCCCAGAGTGCAAGATCTCTCCATAAAAAGATCCACCCTCATTTAACTTTCATTTATCACCATGGTTTAGCTATCATTTACCATGGGATAAGGGCAGGCATAAGGACAGTTGCCACATAACTACTGATGCTATGGAAATCCCCACCCTTGTCTATCTTGTAGCTGGTTTATGTACCCATTCCCTTGATACATCTGCACAAGCCCTGCTGACTTGAGCTGAAGCATGAGGTGCAAAATTTAACCCAAAGTAAGCACCACACAGTTTTCCACAGTGTCTTGAAACATTGCCTTGGCAACACCATCATAACTGAGCATAAATTATTAACAATACTATTTGAAAATCTTCTCCTATTGAGGTCACTACACTGATCATTCAAATATAATAGCAATAATTAATATAAAAAACTAATAGATTTTAAGGCCAGAAGTGAGTATCGTGAAAATCTGTTCTGACCTTCTGCATTATGCAAGCCATAGAATTTTATTTAGCAATCCCTGCATTTCATCTAATAAGCAATGGCTGACCTGAAGCATTTCTTTTAGCAAGGCATTTAATCTTAATGTCAAGACTTAAACTCCTGAATGACTATTTTGCTTTGGTATTTCACTGGAGTAAGGGGAAAATCATACTAGATAAGGTTCAGAATGGGCATGGTGGAAATGACCGTGTTCCTACTGTTGACACTGAGCTGGTGCGTGACTAATTAAAAAAGTTAGACATAAGTCAGCAGGACTGGATGAACTTCATCCGAGAGTGCTGAAGGAGCTGACCGAAGTCATCGCGGGACCTCTGGCAAAACTCTTCCAAAACTCGTGGCACTTGGAGGAGTTTCCTGAAGACTGGAAGAGGGCCAATGTTGTGCCCATCTTCAAGAAGGGGAGGAGAGAGGACCTGGGCAATTATACGCCAATTAGCCTAACTTCTATCCCAGGGAAAATCCTGGAAAAATTCATCAAGGAGTCTATGTATGATACACTTGCAGAAGGTAGGATTCTGAACAACAGCCAGCATGGCTTCGTCACAGGCAGGTCTTGTTTTACCAATCTCATCTCCTTCTACGACCAGGTAACTCGCCACCTGGATAAGAGAGAGGAGGTTGACATTGTATACCTAGACTTCCAAAAGGCCTTTGATCTGGTATCCCATGATGTTCTTATGGGAAAACTGGAGGATTGCGGGCTTAACTGCTTGACAGTCAGGTGAATAGGAAGCTGGATGTGGGGTAGGACCCAGAGACTTCTAATGAACGGATCTGTGTTGTCCTGGCAAAAAGTGGCCAGTGGTGTCCCACAGGGGTCCGTGCTTGGTCCAGTGCTTTTCAACATCTTTATCAATGATTTGGATATGGGGGTGAAGAGCTCACTGGCCAAGTTCACGGATGACAACAAGTTATGGGGGAGTGTGGTCACACTTGAAAATAGGCTGCAGATACAGCCGGACCTAGACAGGCTGGCAAGTTGGGCAGATCAGAACCAGATGAAGTTCAGCACTGAAAAGTGTAAAGTGCTCCATCTGGGGATGAACAATCCCCAACATACATACAGTCTCAGTGGTACCAAACTGACTAGCGCCACGACTGAAAGGGACCTATTACTTGAAAGGGGTAATAATAGAGCACAGTATGAATATGAGCCATCAGTGCAATGCTGTAGCCAGCAGCGCAAATAGTACTCTGGCATCCATCTACAGTGTATCTCAAGCAAAACCAAGGAAGTGAGTCTTTCACTTTACTCGGCATTGGTGAGACCTCAGCTGGAGTACTGCGTCCAGTTCTGGGTGCCGCACGTCAACAAGGATGTGGAAAAGCTTGAGAGAGTCCAGAGAAGGACCACCCACATGATCACAGACTTGCAAGAGAAGCCATATGAGGAAAGGCTGCGGGACTTGGGTCTCGTCAGTCTAAAAAAGAGAAAGCTGAGAAGGGACTTGGTAGCAGCTTACCACTATATCAGGAGAATACATCAAGGGCTCAGCGAGCAACTGGTCACCAGGGCACCCTTGGGGAAAACCAGGAGTAATTGCCACAAGCTCCTGGAAGACCATTTCAGGCTTAACACTAGGAAAAACTTCTTCACAGTCAGGATGTCCAGACTGTGGAATAAGCTTCCTCCAGAGGTGGTGCAATTGCCTACCCTGGAAATCTTCAAGAGGAGACTGGATGGTCACCTCCCTTGGGTCACTTGACCGCAGTTGTCTTTCCTGCCTAGTGCAGGGGGGCTGCACCTGATCATCTTGCGAGGTCCCTTCCAGCCCCTAACAATCTATGAATCTATTAAACCAACAGGGAAGGCGTCACATCCCTTGGGAAATTTTGTCAACCGTTTAGGACGTTTACATCTTATTTCCTCTTTGAAGTTTGCTGACTTCAGTGTCCAGCATTGAGAGGCATTGGAGACTTTATATATAGGTAATCATACACTGTGATCAAGTCACTTCTTAACTTTCACTTCAACAGGTGAAATAATAATGAAACGGGCAGTCACTCAGACATCATAGGTGCATGATCCAAAAAACAAACAAAGTAGACCCCTCATCCAGGGGTGGGTATGAAAGAGAAGAGGATCATGATATGAATTAAAGCACAGAAGAAAATCTTCGTAAAGAGACCTCCTGCTTTAAGAGAGAATAAATGAATGGCCTAGATCCATGAGGCATGCAATCCACAACAATGAGCCTTGCTGAGCAACACCTCAGCCTGTGCTGACCTAGCAAGTTCTCCACCTTCCCTTTACATCACTTTCCACATGAGGAATGAGAGTCCTTGATGAAGTCCCAAAGCCCAAGTGTTCAGTATGGCAGAGCTAGTCACCCAGTGTAGATCATGACAGATAATACATTCCTAGTTTTCTTTGCTACAGTTTGAGATGTGAGTGCATGTGAGGAGTGAGAGAGAGAGAAGCAGGTTCTCAAGTTCCAGACTATCTTTCACCTTTTAAAAAGAAAACCTCCAGGCTTTGTTCAGAGAAAAAGTAGAAGTAGATGTTACAGCACAAGAAAACTGGGAGCCAAGAATATCAACTTTTGCTCACATCTGGAAATCTCAGACACTCTGGTTTAAAAGATATAGCTCTGATATGTCTGCCAAGGCCCTAGGCACAGCTGGGATTCACAAGTTGCCCTGCTGCACCAATGTCAGAGCCACACCCTTCAGGGACAGAGACAGAGACAGAGAAGCCATTGCTCCAGTACACTTTTGTAGATTTAAAACCATTTCCTTGACTGAATAAGAAGACACCTGTTTTATCAGTTGTGTTGGTCCTGCCTCCTGTGAAGCCAATAGGAAAACCTCTGTAGTGTTCAACTGGAGCAGTACCGAGCCCAAAATACTTTGGCATATGCTCAGTTAGCAAGTTTCTCCTTTCGTGCAGTGATGGGCTCCTGCCATGGAAACACTCCAAAGTTCAAGAATTTTCGGGCTGAGAGCTTTGGTTTTCCCTGACAGTCTGTACTAGGAGTAGCTTCCATCTGCAAAGTTCAATGTAGTTTTACGCACTTGGAGTCATACTCTAATTCTGTAGAATCTGAGTCTGCATTTAAAAGATGGTCTCTTTTATATGCCTCGGAGTTGCTAAGGGTTGCTACATTCTGGGCGCATCTCCATGTGTGCTTTAATGCAGCCGTTCTCAACTTTTATTGTACCGGGACCCATTTGTAAACATCGATGGCCAACCCCAACCCAGTGCCCCTCGCTCCCGCCCTGCTGCCCCCACGCTCCAGCCCCACAGTGTGCAAGGCAGGAGGTGTGTGTGTGGGGCAAGAGGGTTCCAAGCAGCCCCTTGCAGCGAGGAACTCTGCCAGCCTGCAAGGGAAAAGCCACAGTTTCCCATGTTTTTCTCCTTTAAAGGAGAATCCATTTTTAAAGTTTGTTTTCGACCCTTTCACATATTTTTCTGACCAACCTTTGTGTCACAACCCACAGGCTGAGAAACACTGTTTTAATGCACAGTAGCCTATTTTACTGCTCATTAAAGCATCATGTCAAATAA